ATGAAGAGATGGTATGTAACATCATTTCACAGCCCATTTGATAATTTGGTGAGTTTATTTCTCCCGGGATATCCCCAATAGTTGGTCTACATGAGACAAAGTTAATCTATCTATCTATCTATCTATCTATCTATCTATCTAGCTAGCTAGCTAGCTAGCTAGCTATTCCAATCTTTTCAGAGATTTATTATTTATTCTTACTTTTTATTTTGGTGGGTGTGGTCATGTTATTTGTTTTGCTTAAGGCATTGATTTGTTTAGAGTTTATTACGTTATCTGCGTTTGCATTTTTCTTGGTAATGTTTTTTTTACGAGATATTCGTTTTTAGCTTTTGATTAGTAGCGTCAGTAAAAAAAAAATTAATGTCGGCATTTTGAGATAATTTCAGATCTTTTATTTGGTAGTTGGTCTTGATCTGGAAGGTTATTTTGTACTGTAAACAATGTTTAAATTTTTGGCAGTTTCTGGTGCTGTTTTCTTTATTTTCCATGATATTTTTTATGTAATTTTTTTGTTTTTAAGTTCTCATCTATATTTAGAAAGAATTGTGCTGTTCGTATATTTACTGTTGTTAAAATATATTTTGTGTGCGTAGTTTCCCTGTTTCAAGGTTCAATCGGTTACTTGTTTTTTTACTTGCTGGTTTTTACAGTGGTTTGTGTATTATATTGCCCTATAGGCAGTTGCCGCTTACTGGACATTTATGTTTTGCTCTTTGGATACAGCGTGGAGTGGGTGACTTTTTGGTTATTTTTTCGTTGTGCTCTTATATCATTTATTTCATGTTCTTAATGCAATTGTAGCTGATTTTAATGTGATACTGTTGAGTATCTTGTGGGGGAGTGCTTGGTCAGGGGAAGTGTTTGTAGATGAATTTAATGACCATATTTATTCTTTTGTTTTGAACGTTAAATAAAACCATATGATGTTTCTTTTTCTTTTTTGGACTATAATATTTTTGCTATTACTGTGGAGAATAGAAGAAGGAAAAACTTCAGCATGTTTTCAAAGAAATCCTGGCAATTCACAGATAACAAAGAAAAGGAATTTGTGGGGAGCCATGATCACCTCTGGACGACATTGAAAAAAATATGAACAGAAAGTGAGATAAATAACTATCGATTGAAACATAAGAACAGAAGTATATTGATTTGGAAACAAGTACAAACATTAATGAACCGCCTTCGACACAAAATTATGCGGGCCACCTCATGTATAGGGGTTATAATTCTCTCACTAGTGGTGAGTTCAACCGAGACCCGGCAAGTATAGCGCGTTTCGAGAGGCTGCAGGATAAACTCATTTAATGACTTTAGTGCCAATATATACGGAGAGTAATGATACGACACATCTGAATGGATGACTTCCAAGGCCGAAGGCAACGGCAAGAAACACGAGATCGGTTGTAGTCTGACCCAGTGAGGGATGGGATTTGTCAGGTCTATTTCTCAAAAAAGGAGCTATACACTAAAGAATACATCTCCAACATCAATATCAAATCGGTCGTTTCCCCGGGATTGCTACTGGAAGATAACTCACAGAAACATTGACATATGGTGGAAGCTGGTTGAGTAACCAGCTGCGAAGTGACCCTGCGATCAAATCCGATTATGGAGCTGCTGCTGCTGATGATGATGATGATGATGATGAATGTAAAACGTAATGAGTTAGAAATAAAGAAATAAAAAAGAAGTGTATAATGCGAGGTAGATATGAATAGAATTATAAATAAATACAAACTGTTTAAGAGAGGAAGAGAGATCATAAGAGATAGAAATTGATTAGTAAAGACGAAGATAAATATAAAAGGACTATAATATTTAGGGGCACATTGAAAACTTACCTCAGTCAAGCATTTTTTTAGCTTCAATTTCCGGATATATTTCATTTTTGTCAGTACAAACACATTAAGCCGGTCTCTATTTTCTTGATCTTTCCTGTAAAGGCGCGCACAACCAATTTTAAGCCAAACTGCATCGTCCTGATTAGCAGATGTAATTAATCTTAAAAGAAAGCTGAAAAATGTGGATGTATGTATGTATGTATGTATGTATGTATGTATGTATGTACGAAGTGGAATCCAGAATCTAGAAGAAACTCACGAAGAAAAAATACATTTAAACTAATTTCTACCGTTTCCTTCGAAGAACAGTCATAATAGCTTTTTTAAAAATCATTCGGCTGACAATCTATCGCAGTCTATTCATATCTATCTATCTATCATCTATCTATCTATCTATCTATCTATCTATCTATTACAGTCTGTTAATGGCTATTGATGCATTTATCAGTCTGTTAATATCTATCACAGTGTGTTAATATCTATCTATCTATCTATCTATCTATCTATCTATCTATCTATCTATCTAATAATCAATCGGGGTACATTTTAAACCGATATTTGTCTATTCATTTATTTTAGAATATTTTCAATAGGTCAATTTTTTTAATAATTTCTAGGCATTAAAAAACAATTTAAAATCGATTTCCATATAAAAGAAAGGTAATTTGACATCAGGCGCAGGCTCAAAACACATTAGGTGAAACATCATGAAGGTTAAAGAAGGTTAAAGAGAAGCATTTATAAATATAAAAGGAACTTGAAATTAAACAACGAACTCAATACACTTGTAAGCTACCGAAACCTTTGTGATCTCTATTTTATCGTGGAAAATACAGTTTCATTATATATATATATATATATATATATATATATATATATAGGTAACTGCCTCAGATAAAGATGCATCAAAAGTACCATGTATTACGATAACCCCACAGTTAATACACGATCGGGCTACTTCAGTCTATCAGCTGTTCTTAAAAAAAACTGGTGTGGAAAGAATGTGGAATGCGAAACATCTTAAAACAAATGAATCAGTCACCTAGGCGATCATGGATCTTTCGATACATGACGGGGACGCAGATGTAGGTTGCCATTTCTATCTGCAGTAGACCAGTTGCCATCCAAGAACCCGATCTGTCCTGCTATTTACCCATAGAGGATTCATAAGTTTCTCAAGGGTATTAACATGCAAGTGAATGTAACGGATTCGACTGGAATTCGAACTCGGCTCTCCGATTTCTCAATCCCAGCCGCTATCCATTACTCCACCAATACATATATAAAATGTGTTGAAATAAGTAAAATCTAATTTGAAAAACCATGACGTTAAATTATATACCCAGTCTTTACTTTCCAGTTTCGATCGCGACTAGAAGTTCCATTCGTGGATGATTCATTATTTTCCACTCTACAACCCCTTTCCCACAAACGAAAACTTGCAAGCTTATTGCTGCTCTATTGATATTTCCATGGAAAGTGTCCAGACGAACTACATTCCTTAGTTTCACCAATTCAAACCTTCACATCCATGACCTGACCTCTCACGCATATTTTAGCCAACAACCTTTGTAGTATATTGGTGAAATGTAAGTTCCACTGGAACAGCTTTTTCTCACAAACCGCTTACTTTGTGGAACCGGCTCCTAGGAGAATGTTTCACTACAACCATGATACGTCCAAGTCTAAGTTTAACCATTATCTTCCCCACATATCCTCATAAACTGTGTAATTCTCTGTCTCGAGTGGCGCTTCGGTCTTGTACAGGATAAACCTTATAGTAAGAAGAATTAGAAAAAAAAAAAAGAAAGAAAAAAAAAAGAAAGAAAAAAAACAAACATACACACAAAGCAATTCATATGACCAAAGTGAAAAACAGTCTCATTAATATAGGTTGAAATAAAATCCATTTTTTTTATTAGAGAGACGTTAAAATATATATTTTTTTAGTTGTCTTATATATTTACCACACATGAGTTTAGCTTAAGCAACTAAGCTAATTTAAAAGGTTTTTAATTTAATTATTCATAATTAGAAATTATGAATACAAATTATAAACTTCCTCATAGAGAAAATTAAGAAATTAAAAACAGCCAGAAGGACCTACATATCCTCATTGGCAGCAATTATCTCTTTAATTCACTAATAACGGAGTAAATGCTTATTCAGTGTGCAGAATTCTGCATATTCGGGCACGTGATGTACAAAAGACAGATACATCACGGTTGACGTCATTTTCACCATTTCAAGAGAGCAAAAGTGTCTATGAACGCCAACTTGAAGGGATCGTTTTTATTTTCTTACTTTCAAGCGGGACCCTGCAGACCACACGGTCAGAGGAGGTCAGTCAGAACATGATAATGGGGTTAAAGTTCTTGTTTGTTCTCTACTTTTTTTCTTTTTAGCTCGTCCTACCGGTGATCATATTTACTTGACCTGCCCACTAAGGTTCCATGTAAGACAAAGTTTTTTTTTTTATGTAGGCTGCCCATGCCTATGACAAAAAACTATCCAGTCAACGCGCCCACTGTTACGCTGTCGTCAATATTACACCATACCCACCTCTCTTAGTGCTATGAGGAAGGTTCTGCCGCTGGGTTGGGATTCTCTGGACGAAGCGCTTTCTCTCTTCTAAAATGAGAAGAAAAGAAACTAGTCTTTGATCTCGGACCCAAATACAAAATATATATTTTACAATAAATATATAGTGATGTATGAAGATCTTCATTCAGGAAAAAAATGCTCTCATTCACATTAACTATGAAAATGAGAACGCAAGAAAATGTCCAATATTTCGTTTTTATTCGAGACTTTCAGCAGAGGAGAGTATAGAGTTTCATCTTACTATACCAATGGTAAAAGTTGCAGTAGACTCACGAAAAGAATCAGCATTAACGAGCGAAACACGCAGACGAATACACGCCCATGAAGACAAACTCAAGGAATAAATTTCGGGTGATTTGCAGAAAGTTGTTTGAAACCACAGGACCAAAATAAATAAAAGAAATAAAAAAAAAATAAAGAAAAAAAACAATGTTGGTTTCAGTGGATTTGTGTCATTCTTGATTTAAAGATCACATATTTACGATGGTGAATTAACAAATTTGTAAAAGCATGGGAAGTTTTATTTATTAGGAGATAAAAATGAACAGCCAGATGTTATTTTTTGCAAACCTGACCACTATCTGTTACCAACATTACTCTCCTCATTATCTATCTATCTATCTATCTATCTATCTATCTATCTATCTATCTATCTCCGCATTATCTATTTATTTATCTATCTATCTATCTATCTATCTATCTATCTATCTATCTATCTATCTATCTCCGCATTATCTATCTATCTATCTATCTATCTATCTATCTATCTATCTATCTATCTATCTAACATTAGTTACCGAAAGTAATGAATATATATGCCAAACCAAATATGGTAAAATATCCCCCTCGATGCAGTTTTAATATTGCTGATTCTATCTAACATTCAGGGACAACCTTTATTCCTAACAGTCCCTCTTCTTCGTGGGACTCGGAAATTCAATCCTGCCCCAGGAAGGAGGATATTTTTTCTTGTGTGAAACTAGCATTTCCAAATAGGATGACATGTGACAAACAATTCTAGTGGTCCAGTAATTTGATTCGACGAACAGAACCTTCCCTTATCTTTCCCCTTCTCTAAGGCATGGGCTGACCCCACAAACATTTTCTACTCTTTCTGAATGTCTTTAGGAGCCGAGGAAATTTTTTTGAGCGAGAATTGAAATGAACACTTGGGCGTGTTTAAATGTGCGATAAGCCCAAAACTTTCCAAGAACCATGTCGATTTCTTTGACACAGCCCTTTCAAAAATTGGAAGGAATATTTCGGAATGAACAGCTCTTGATTTGTGAAAATTCTTTAAGTATGCTAACATATTTTCTAGCAGCATCCACTTTGGTCAGCAAAATAGATTTTAAAAAAGCCATTCCATTCCAAGCAAGACACTAAAGCCACTAAGGTGAAAGGGTTAATGTGTGTGAGAGGATATGAGAAAAAGAAAACATTATTAACGAGAGAGAACAGCAAAAGAACAGGAATAAAAAAAATTGAAGATTGACTTAGCATTTAAATTTTTGGAGATCAAAGTTGACTGGAAAGTAAGAAGCCGGAAGAGAGTTCGACAAGCGAGAAGTGCGAGAGAAGAAATTGTTAGCATAAAACTTAGGGTTATATCTAGCCATTTCAACTGTAAAATGATGAGACCTTTCCGCCAATCTAGTAGTACACTTAAATTCATTAGGTCTACGTAACGAAGAGGAAAGCTCATCAAAAGTTATGAAAATATTTATAGAAAAAGCATAGGTATTTGATTCAACATCAATGACGAAAGAAAATATTTTCTATATCCATGACTAACTCATAATTCCAACATATACGTACACACTTTCTGTACTCACCCCTACACGCACACAAAGAGGTGCTGAAAAATTCTAGGCCCGATTTGCTTTCCAAAATAGGTCCAAACAGAATATTCTGGAACAGTTTCTTGATGTAACCGAGAATATTTCGGCTGTCTCTCGTATGAGCTGCCTTAATCAGTATTTCGGCAACTTACGATGGATTAATGGATAGCGGCTGGGATTGAGGAATCGGAGAGCCGAGTTCGAATTCATGTCGAATCCGTTACATTCACTTACGTGCTAATATACTAGGGAAAGATATGAATCCTCTTCTTCTTTCCCCCACCTATGGGTAAATAGCAGGACAGACTGGGTTCTATATCCTTAGATGGCAATTGGTCTACTGCAGAAAGAAATGGCAACCTACTGCGGGGAAAAATCTGCCTCGTCAATCGTGTATCGAAAAATGCATGATCGTCTAACTAAATGATTGATCAACATGTTATGTAACTGATCAGCGAGCATTGTTGTTTCCAGAATTAAAAATTAATTTTCTTTGCCTATTATTATTGACTTATTTATTTTACAAGACTGATGCAATGCAGTCATTCTCTTCTGACAGAAGCTAGTAATTTCGAGGCCTCTTCTTCTTATGGAAATCGCCCTGGCGAAGTACATATTATACAGCTAAGAAAAGAATGATTCGCATTGACTTGATGATCCCGACTACGGTCGATTCCTTTTTATTATGTATATATTTATTATTGTGAAATACAATAATTGCGGTACACGGCTCAAAAGTGGGTTGAGACTGGTCATCATTAGCTATCCTATCTCTAGCTAATCTGATTCATGATCCATTCATTCAATACAAATGATACATATGCCAAAAGATGACATCGTTCACCTTTGACTCCTACATATACCAGAATACCGCATACACAAAGGGAACATAAAAATTAAACACCATGATTTTAAAAATTTCTTATAAAAGGTTGAGTCCTTTTATGGAAATGTAAACGTTTCTCTTCTTTTTTGTTTATCTCACCTTCTCTATATTGATATGTCTGTAAGGTGGTTGAAATTATATCGAGTTTGCTTTGAGTGTCAAAGCAACTCTTTTATTCCCAGGCAGCGATGACATTTGTGTTTTACAAATCATTTCAATACTCACCTGATTTGTCTACATAATATTTTTTTTCCAGAACATATGTGAATCAGCTGCTAAGTTGATATGCGTTCAGTGTAACCCGGATATAAGAGACCCGGATATAACAGAAACCCGGATATAACAGAGATTTTCTCTGGTCTCAAATTAGAGCCTGTATTAATGTATATAAAATAGACTAAACCAGGATATAAGAGAAACCCGGATATAAGAGACTTTCTTTTTCCCGACAACTCTCTTATATCCGTTACACACAACTATATATATATATATATATATATATATATATATATATATATATATATACAGTGTAACCCGGATATCTTATAAGAGAAACACGGATATAAGAGTGGTTTTCTGGGCCCCAAATTAGAGCCTGTGTTAATGTATATAAAATAGACCAAACCCGGATATAGAGAGAACCCGGATATAAGGGACTTTCTCCGGTCCCGACAACTTCTCTTATATCCGGGTTTCAGGTTATTTCTGTTTTTCTTTTTATATGCTATTGTTACTCTATGAATTTCATAATCACCTGACCTCACTAAGACTGGTAGCTTTAAATTAGGCATTATCAAGTAAGTAGATAGACAATATTGTTATGTGTCAATTTCTGGGTTAGAATAAAAATACCAGCCACTTTCTCGTGACATCGATATCTTATGGAAATATTGTTGTTGTGCACCGCAGATTTCTTCTGTGTGCCCCACACCCCCAAATAGCATGAATTAATTTTCGAAAGGCATGAAACCAATAATTCAATGCAAATAAAAGAGTACTGTCTTTTAAAGACCAGAGACATTTTATCTGAGTTTTTTTTTTTTTGCGATGAAGCACATTGAATCCAATTATTGAACTTACGGCCATATGACGTTGAAACATCGGTTCCCTTACGATCACCGAAGTTAAGCAACGTAGATGGGTGACCGCTTGGGAAAACTAGGTTCTGTAAGCTTGGGTGTGCGGCCGGTGTAATGGATAATGGCTCGGAATTATTAATTGGAGTGCCGAGTTCCAATTTCCATTGGGTTTGTGAAATTCCCTTACGAGAAAGGAAGGAATCATCCTCATCTGTTCCAAGCTATGCATGACTTGTATCAGAAAACGAATCAATCATAAAATCAGTTACTGAAGGAAGCTTTTTAAACATTAACTTGTTGACATAGTAAACGTTAAATAGTTTTTTGTACGCACTAAAAACGAACTAGTAAAATTTGCCAGATATGCAATCTCTCTCTCATTCTCTCTCTCTCTTTCTATATATATATATATATATATATATATATATATATATATATATAATTTATATATATATATATATATATATATATATATATATATTGTATTTATAAAAAAAGTTATAACATAAATATTTATAAAATCATTACAAAAAGCCATTTTTTTTACACTTCACATCTTATCAAGTGATGATGTTAAGATAAAAAATCTTTTTTGATCTTCAAAATCATCTATCACTATTTTGTAGTGATTTTATAACATATTTATGTTATAATTTTTTTTATAAATAATAATTATATCAACTCTACTTTGTATTGAGCACTCTTTTAAGAATAGTAATTGTTTTTTATTGGAATTCATTCCGTATATACCAATTATATACCTGTATATATATATATATATATATATATATATATATATATATATATATATATATACTTAGTTGTATTAATGTGAGTTTGTGACCTGGGTTTCACGCACTTGCGATCGTCATACAAAATGACATCAATCCAACTAATTATGTTAGCTCTATCACTGATACTGAACGCTTTCCAATACGTACCGCGCATACATCATATATAAATATTATATATAGAAATTACACACACACATAAACACACATATACATATATATACATACCTACATACATACATATTATACATACATATACCCCCAATCACACAAGCGCGCGCGCACACACACACACACAGACAAATATATATATGTCTATTTGAACTAAAATTGAATTCCACAGAACTTATAGATTTGAATATGTAGAAAGGCATTCATTAGATAATCTCTTTCGATAAACACGTCAGAAGAAGAAAACGGTAGCAAAGTTGATTGACAAAATGGAAACAATTCGCACTGCAAGAGAAAATATACTAAGGGGGAAAAAAAGGAACTACAACTAAAACACGAATTTATTTGTGAAATATTCGTTTTTTTTTTTTCTCCTCCTTACATTGCCTTCGTACACATAACATTTCCTTCCCCTGATCTGTTAGTCGAAAGAGATCTCAAAAGCTCAGTTTAAAAAAAACAAAAAAACATCAACAAAAAAACGACTGATTAAGGCTCCGGAACCAGAGTGTCAAATTCAGTAGGATTTTCTTTTAGTTTCCATGGTGTCTATGTGTTTTTGTGTAGAGATTTGATTCGTGCAGTGGTAGAAACGGTAGTGAGTTTAACTTTGAGTTTAAAAAATTTAAATACTGTTTTTGAAGTGAGATTCGAAAGCAACATTATGCCATTAGCAACAAATACAGTAATCGGTAGTTATAATTGCTTATATATATATATATATATATATATATATATATATATATATATATATATATATATATATCATGATATATTATCTATCTATCTATCTATCTATTCTATCTATCTATCTATCTATCTATCTTCACCTTTTCATATCTCTATCTTAGTATGTCCATATCTATCTATCTATCTATCTATCTATCTATCTTCTATCTTCACCTTTTCATCTATATCTATTATAGTATCTATCTATCTATCTTCACCTTTTCATATCTCTCTATCTTAGTATGTCCCTATCTATCTATCTATCTATCTATCTATCTATCTATCTATCTATCTATCTTCACCTTTTCATATCTCTCTATCTTAGTATGTCCCTATCTATCTATCTATCTATCTATCTATCTATCTTCACCTTTTCATATCTCTCTATCTTAGTATGTCTCTATCTATCTATCTATCTATCTATCTATCTATCTTCACCTTTTCATATCTCTCTGTCTCAGTATGTTCATATCTAATTTCTATCTATCTATCTCGTTTTTTCTTTAACTACACTTGATTGCATGCGTAATGTTTTTTGTATTTTTCTTCTTTCCAAGAAGCATTAAACAACCTTAGGCTAATTATTCAGCTTAATCGAGGCAGACGTTTTCTTAATTAAAAAGATTCAAGCTGTTGTAAACAGTGCAGCTAAATAAAGTTGATGGTGTAAGAGGAAGGGTGCGGTTTCGGTATCTGGTCAAAGCTTATGTTTAGGTCATGGTCATATCTATTGATTGTGTTTTTATTATTTGTTATTATGTCGACATTCAATTATCCTTTCACACAGACACACACACACACACACAGTAATTATTTCGTTTATGTTTTCATTAATCTGTTAATATCATGTTTCACAAATTTAATATTTTCACATTTGGTAAATTGATATGAAAATAACCAGATGAAAAGCGGAGGTCTTAAGTTGTGATAAAATTTAAAAGAAACAAAAAAAAAAAAGAAAAAATTCAATTATAAAATGAAAAGGAAAGAAAGAGAATCAGATGCTTAGATAAGGAGGAGGGAAAAGGGAGTGGACTGCGAAGTGAGAGAGAAAAAGATAGAGACATAGACGTATAGCGTGATAGAAGGAAAGGGAGAGAGAAACACTACTGAGGGAGGGGAGAGTGGGAGTGTGAGGGAGAGAGATAGGGGAAATAGAGAAAGGCAGGCAGAGTGAAAGAGGAAAAAAGAACGGGAGATAGTGAGAGGAGAAAGAGTGGAGGAAAGAGAAAGAGAGAATGAAAGTAATAGAAAGAGAGGTAGAGAGAGTGTAGGGTAAAGGAAAAGAGAAGCAGTGGAAAAGAGAAAGAGAAATACTGAGAAGGGGAGAAGGTTAGATAGCTACGGGGAAATAGAGAAATGGAAATAGAGATAGGGAAAGGGAAGGAGAAAGGGAGGTAGAGAGAGATAGATGAAAAGATAGAGGAAGAGAGGAAGATAGAGGAGAAAGAGGGAGACGGAGGGAAAGGGAAGGAGAGAGTAAAAGAAAGAGAGAGAGAGAGAAGGGGTAAGGAGAGAAGGTCAAATAAAATCAACAATAATCTATTCAGTAAATAAATAGGAACTACAAATTTTGAATATCACTTTCGTATCATTTGCGCTGAAAGTGAAATCAGCGGGTCGAGTTCGAATCTCACTTTCGCTATAATAACGTTGGAAAACGGTATGGATTCATCTTTTAACGTCTTCCAGCTATGGGCAATATAGCAGGGTAGACTATTCAGTATAACCTTAGATGGCTGTCAGTCTAGAAGAAGAACTACACTGATTTCAAAACTGATGAAATTATAACGGGGAAGTACTTTACTATCTTTCCAAATCAATTGCATATTTTTTTTTAATCGAGTTCACCCCAAGCAAGACATTAAAGCCATTAAGACACAAAAGAGATACTGGGTGAGGAAGATTTAGAAAACAGAAACATTACTAAGGAGCAATAACAAAAGAAGAGCAATGACAAAAGAAGAGCAAGAAAATATGCCGAGCAACAAAAAGGTTCAAATTTTATGGAACCAAAATATAAGCAAAATATATTAAACCAATCAAATAAAAACATTTGTTTTAGAGGCATCTTCTATATAATTAATGTCAATATCAGTGTTTCAGTGGTCACCCTTTTTCAAATTTACTCCGAGAGGACGTAGCCCAAAATATCATACAATTTTGGAATCAGGCCGACTCCGTGAGCAAATTAAAAATATTCCGGACTATATCCGGATACGCAATCCTGAAATTTTGTATTCCCAAGTTATCATTACTGTTTTTAAGCTAGTCAGTCAATATTTCCAGATGCATTGAATCGGTTTTGCTCATTTTTGTCAATCATATCGCCCAATGAAAGGAGGTAAAGCCACTAGTAAACAAAGGGTTACTGAGTGTGGAAGAACAAGAAAAAAAAAAAGAAAAAAAAAGAGAATGCTGAAAGAATAAAAGAGTAATCAAAGCGATTTACATTGAACTTAAAATTTTGAATATTAAAGTTGGCTGGAAAAGGTGTTCTATGAGCGACAAATGCGAGCAAAGTAACTGCTAGCATAGTACTTCTAGTAACATGTAGCCATCTCAGTTGTAAATTGATGAGTCCTTGTCGTCAGTCTAGTAATACGCTTAAATTAAAAAAAAAATCTAGGTACCATAGCGAAGAGCTTATCCGAACAATTAAAGAAAAGGAATCCGTGGAGAGTCATGATCATCTCCGCCCTGAAGGGACATGACATTTTCAGATAGATAGTATTAAAGAGAGAAAGAGTGAGACACAGAGGGAGAGAGGGAGAGAGAGAGAGAGAGAGAGAGAGAGAGAGAAAGAGGGGGGTAAGAGGAGGAGGAGATAGAGAATCTTAATAATAAAGATATTTTTTTCATTTTCAAAGATCAAATAAAAAATTCATTCCATAAATTTAAATTTAAAGGATCATTTTTCTATTATAATTCATTTTCCAGTCCATACGGTCATGTGTTTTATGAATATACATTTTTTTCTATCAAGAGATTTCCCATCTGGAAAATAGTTTTGAAAACGGATCAAATTCTATTTAATTTGTTTCTAAATAATGACTTAAATTCCCTTAGAATAGCACATTAGAGATTAATACGCTGTTCGTCTGTTTTTTTTTTTTAACTTTAATTACTCGCTTTGGTGTTGAAGTGTAAAAATCCTGCCCAAATATTGGACCCTGAAAATAGGACTTCAAGTTCAAGTTTATCATCGCTTCCTTTTTGTAACTGAGGTTTACTCCACCTTCTCCATACCTCTTCCTTCACGACATGGCTGATGATGGCTCTCCCTAGTTGCCAATCAGTTTTAGCTTTTTACTATCCTTCCTAGTATCTGCTCGCCGTTCATTTACATAAGCCTGCTGGGTAGGTTACTCGTTGTTTCAATCTGGACCTCCTTTAGTCTATCTTCTGAGTGTTAATTTCTCTAAGCCCACTTTCCTCATTATGCGTCCCAGAAATTTCGACTGTCACTTTCTGAGGTATAAGCATAACTTTATTTCCATTTTCTTAAAAATTTCTTTATTGCTCACATGTCTTGTCCGTGGTATTCTCTATATAGTTTTTTAGACGCAGTTGCGTACTTTAATCTGGGATTATAGCATGTAGAGTAGAGAAAGGGTATTCAAATCACTGAAGTATATGCCTTGAAAATCAGCAATCGTATACTGTTTTCCTTTTGCGAGACAGGAGGATTTGATAACAAAGAAAAGAATACTGAGCTGTTACGTGATATCTGTACATCTTTACGGAAGCGAATGCTTGACGATTTCCTCAAAGAAGAGACTCGAGGTGACGGAGATGCGGTTCTACAGACGGATGTTAAGGATATCATGGACCAAGCGTGTGAGCAACGATGAGGTCTTAGAGAGGATGCAAACAAAGGAGAAACTTATGCTTAACATCAGGAAGAGGCAGTTGAAATTGCTGGGACACATAATAAAGAAGGAGGGCCTAGAGAATCTGATACTCACATGTCGAATAGAGGGAAAGAGAGACAAGGGAATGCAGCGCGTGACATACCTGACAAGCTTGAGTCGGTGGATTGGAGAACGTGGTCGAGGGGAGGTAGCAGAGGGAAGGAACTTATTGAGAGCTGCAAGGGATAGAGGAAGAGGTGGAGAGCCATGACCACCTACGTCCTGAAATGACATGGCGCATAAAAAGAAGAAAGATATATTAAGCAAGTAGATGACAGAACGTGGGTTGGTGGAGGAAGCAGGGGGGAAGATCTTGTTGAGAGCTCCTAGGGATTAAAGGGAAGTGGAGAGCCATGATCGCCTACGTCCTGAAAGGACATGGCACATAAAAAGAAAGAATACCGTTGAGATTGAGTTTGAACAAAGACCGCTGCTTATAAACACGTTATCACCGCAGTCACAAGTCAGGTCACACCGTCTTTTTAATATGTAATATCTTTACATGAGCTTATCGATGCCTAACGAACCAGTCTTTCGTGGACGTCGACTAAACAATTTCGACTACAGAATTTCGATAATGTAACCATTCTCTTACCTGTTCTGCCACGATTATCCACGCCAGTTTGTTTGTTGGCTGGAATATCAAATCTTTCCGGAAGCAATTTCTTTGCAATTTTGCGCCGTCTATTGTTTTAGCTGGAGAGTGTGTTTGTCAAGACGTTTTTGATTATAATTGGATTGAATAAAACTAGCTACAAATTAAGGCCACTAAAAATACTTCATCTCAAGAGCAACATTAATAGTAAAAGCTGTAATAAAACAATAATAATAAAAATGCTTAATCTAAAAACAATATTAATAAAATGGGATGACATTAGTAAATTCTTTAAACAATTTTAATTAATTCTGCAGAGCTTTGTTTGTGTAAACAAACGAAATTGTTGTCTGCTTTCAATGTGATCTGTATACAGTATATTCCTACGTGTGTCAATATATTATTAATATATTAAACATATGACTGAGTGATTAGAACGGTGACCCGGGGAGTTATGGTCAGAAAGAGAACCTTCGATCTAATTATAAACAAACATTTCAGTCAATACATTCTTCCGTCAATAATAGACCGAGGTGCCTTGTTGATGGTATCAGCCTGGAGAGGCGATCCTAGCGTACGGCGGTTTTAGAAAGTACCTGAAAAACCATACAGCGGGTTGACCCCAAGCCTTGTGAGTGAAATTGGCTAGACGGAACTTATAGAGAACCGGCGGTGGTTGTGCTAGCACGAAGTCACAAGTCATCGTGACCGAGGGTTTGAGCACGTTGGCCTTGTACGGTCTGTTGATCACGCTAGATAATGAGCTCTCTCTCTCTCAGAAACTTAACTAAGGTCAGTTCAGCATAGTTGTATTATAAACCACAGGTGGGATCTGTCGGTGTTGAAAAACACAAATGTCTCTGAGCTGGCGTCTACCACAGGGATTGGCTAGCCGCCCTAGTAGACGGGCATCTTCGGATACGAGTGGCCAGCCATTATTATATGTATATT